TAAACAATTTTTTGGATTCAAGTTTTTTTAATACACACCTTACCTCTGATGCACTATTTTAAAACATTTTTCACTAATAAAAATCATGAAACCATTACAACATCTACAGTTTCTCCGATTTTCTTGCAATAATATCGGTGCTTAGGGCGCTCCAGAAGTACAGATTTTGGTAACAGAAACGATAATTTGTCGAGCCAATTTGGCAACGGGCTCAGGCTACTTTGTGAAAAAAGGAGAAATGCAGGATTAAAAAAAATGAATCGAATATTTAGTACCCTAAGTAGAGTAAATTTCATAATTGTTCTAATTAATTATAAATACGCTCATATTGTAGTAATATTTTTTATTTATGTACATACGTGCGTATTATGCTGAGTATTAGTGAGAGCAATAAGTTCCTCTACAATCATATATCTCCCGACTACACATAAATAAAATGAATCAACTACACAAAAAAGTTTCTATAAAATATGACAAATCCAAGTGACTTCATTCTTTACACACCATTTATTTCTTTTTCATTCTCTTTGAGTGATTAAAAATTTATAATGAATGGCATGGCTGTGAAATAAATGGCACCCAATATAATAATTTACTGGTACTTTTCAACAAAACCCAGAAAAATCCTAGCCATAAATTTTTAAATTCTGTTGAAATGTGCAAAGCCAAAATGGGTTAGCCAGTCGTTTAAGCTGAAAAGAAACACTATTTTTCTTTTCCACGGTCTACATATATATATTTACACATTTCTATATATTTATTTGTAGCTTTGAGCGCAATTGCGAAGCGCAGTGAAGCATAAAAGGGAATAGATATACGAGGACAACTTACTACTCAATTTTTTAGGTGGCAATGAATATCCCAAACAATTTGAGGTCGAGTGCTGCTTAGCTGGAAAGCAAAAATTGTGACTGAATAGGCGGCTTAAGTGTTCGAGTACGGCAAGGGTGAAAAGTAAAGGATATACAGTAGCATACAAATGATTGGAAAATTACTTAAATAAAAATATAAAATATACGATATAATGTTAACGTCAAGTAAATCCTGACAATCCTCGCCAGATGATACTTAACCAAAAAATTAATCACAACACCATAAGGTCTTGATTTGTAACGCTAGCAATTTTGGCTAAGATAGTAAAAAGTCTTTCGTAAGACAAATGTCAAGAGAGTTCGAAAGCCTTCGGTTTAGTACAAAAATCTTTGAAAACAAGTAATTTTGAAGCAAAAAACAAAACCGACTTCAGCTCTAATATAAAAAGAAAAAATATATATATATCCAATGATCGGATCTAAACCAGATTAGTATGGGACCACGTCTGAGACGTGGTCCAAAGTTATGCGGTAACATACAAGAAAAGAAAGAAAGAAAAAAAATATTCGGAATATGATAACCTCCTCCTTTTTTAGAAGTCGGTTAAAAAGCATTCTCATTCACTACTCCTGGTTAAAAGCTACTGTGAAATAAAGCACTTGAATATAATTTAGCTCACGTCATTCCGGCAATCAAAATGGCCAAGTGAGCAAAGCACAAGCGTTTCATTCGGGAGAACCGAATTCAAGTCGTCGGGCAGCAGAATTTCTCTCTCTATTATCTCTATTTTTTCTCTTTTAATTTAATTTTCGATGTTATTGTTTTAGAAAAGAAAAATATATAATTTACTTATTTTATGCAATTTGTTTCTTTTTAACTTTTTTCTTTCTTATTTTGATTTTTAGATGTTATTGTTTTAAAAACAAAGAATATTATTTTTAATTTCATTTCATTTTAAGGAACTTATTTTTTTTCTGTCTTTTTTGAATTTACTTTTCTTTTAGTTTTTAGATTTTGTTGTTTAAAACCAAACTAAAATTTTTTAAATTACATTTAATTTTTTAGAAACGTATTGTTTTCTTTTCTTGTTTTAAATTGTTTTTGCTAATTTAGTTTTTAGATTTCGTTGTTTTAAAAACAAAAATATACATTTTGTATTTCGTTTAATTTTTAGGATCATATTTTAAGAAAAAAAAGTTTAATTTTTCGTAATTTTTACAATTGATTTTAAAATTTTTTTTTAGTTTTTACACTAAGCGTTAGAATAATCTAATTCCGCTCAGCGGTGTACATTCGCTGTTTAAAGTTTAAATTTTTCAAAACTGACTTTACTTGACCTTTAGTTTAGTGTAAAAAAAATTCTACAAACATTTGGGCCAACAATTACGTTTCCTACTACTTTAAAAATATAGAATAGAGCAGCACTGGTTTAACTATAAATAAATACTCGGTAAAAAAGTTAATCATTGGTTTTCACTTTTGATTTCACTATACATGTTACTATACTTGACCAATTGTTGCTACGACACTCTTGCCTTTTTGTCTGTCTCTCTGTATTTATGCTACCTTGAGAACGCTTGACCTTAGCTACTTATCATTTTGCGAAGGCCCTTTCGCAATCGATTGTACACAAATGTTATTCAAATACTTGCTCATTATTCTTCCTACTACCTCATTCCTTGTTCGCCTTTTCTTCAATTACGTCACTTTACTTGCCTATTGCAATGCATTTCGCTCAAAAGAAAAAAATGCTTATCACTAATTGGATTTGCGCAAATGGTTGAAACCTTTGAAAATCAGTGAACCATTAAATGCAAATGGCAAATATCGCATTGAGGTTCAAAGCTGAACTATTGCACCATTTTTTTAATTTCATTAGTATTTAGTTTAAGGGATTTACGGATAGATAACTTTATTTTGGTTTTTCATTAGCGCTTTGGATACCAGTTTCCAGTTTCATTCAATAGTAAAAACGAGAAAGTGCCGCAGGGGACCCTTTTGGTGGACGATGAAAGAGAATTTTTAAATACATACATGGGATGCACAAATTTATGCATAGCCGGTTTTGTATATGTATGGGTTTGTTTATATGTGCATATGTGCCTACATATGAACGCATGTATGTTTATATGAACATAGGAAAAACATTAAGCCCCTATATTAAACAAATATATGTATGTATATTAGCGTGGTCCCAAATAAGCATCCCTTGGATTTTTCTATACCGAAAAAAATATTCCCCTATTTTTTTATTTTGAAGTAATAAAAATAATTGGTAGGTCGCTCAAAGCGCATTGAATTTTCTGGGGGTTTCGGGGGACCTACAAAATATAGTTAGTTTGAAAAAATTATTATACATATAAATAGTTGGGAATCTCCTGAAGAGAAATAGAGTTTTCCGATCGAAAATTATTGATTATCAAGAATTCTATACCATATCAACGAAAAGTTTTTTTGTTCATATAAAATACATGGAAAACTTTGAGCGCTTTGAGCGACCTCTAAGTATTTTATGATTTCAAAATAAAAAATAGTATTAAAATTTTTTCGGTATAGCACAATCCTAGGGGATGAGAGCATAAAAATTCCGACTTTACTTTTTCACATGCATTTGTGGACCACCGTAATTTGCGTATATACAAATGTGTATGCGCGCAATTACACAGACTATACGTACAATGTTAAATTAGAGGAAGCGTGCACTGAAGCTATGCTTAGTGAGAAACGAACTACAACATTAAAATATAGTTAGTTATATTTGTAGGGAAACTTGATGAAACACGTCGAGATTAAAAGAAGACGAGCAATATTTAGAAAAAAATAACTAGCAAAACTGGTATTTTCGACCATTAATTTATGACCTTACTACATAGTCTGCACTAGAAACAAAATTTTTTTTTTTTATATTTTCAACCCTTGTCTTTAAGCAGCGTTGCATTCTCATCAAATTAATGCTTAAAGTTGCTATATTCAACGCGAAAGATATTTTTTCATCGGCTACAAAATATATATATGTACAATATGCATACATTAGGTTCTATCACGTGTGTTTGAAAATTTACTTTAAGATTAGTTTGTCCAACCTAAAAACTTATCTTAAAAATTACTAACTACTAGTTTTCATAGTTATTATATTTGCAATGCGATTTCCATGTGTGATACATCGAGTAAAGGTCAAAATAAAAATATAATAATTTGAAGGTTCTTCAGCGTTATAGCAGACATTTTCTGAAATTTACTTCCACTGAGACAGAGGTGTGGTTCCTATCCCGAACTAGTCCCCCTTTAAAGACTTAGAATTTTTTCCTGACTCATATAAACAACAAAAACTTAATTTTGGATCATAGATAAAGGATCTGTATACTATACCAGGTAATTTTCCCACGATATTTTCCTTTTTTTATATATATTTTTTTTTACAAACATGCGCATGACAGTTGCTCATACGCCACCGCCTCTCATTTATTTGCGACCTTCACTGCCTACATATGTAGCTTTCGTAGAATTTAATAATTTGAACATTTAAAATATAAAATGGCTAACATTTTGAAAAATATTCAGTTGGATAGTTTTGTTAAAAAGCTTTGATCGAATATCAAACCGTGGAGAATCTAGATAAGTTGCTTTGGCTAAATCTGATAAAAGAGTAGAAAATTTGCACAAAGTTTAAAAATTATATTTTTATGTTTTTTGTTGTAGAATGTACCATATTTTTATAAAAAATTGGCGGAAAAACATTACAACCAAAATTGTTGCATATATTGTAAAAAAGCAACTGTGTCAATACTTTTTGCCCGCAGTGTACATATTTGCCTGTTACACATTTTCCTACATATTTTGCCGAGCTTCTCCTCCAGTTTTCGTCACTTCCAAAACGCCAGATAGATTTTACGAGGAGCTGTTTTATAGCAGATATACCCTCGAAGGTTTGTCAGTGCCTGCCGAGGGTAGATAAAACTTCGATGTTGCTGGGACCAGGTATCGAACCGTGGACTACCGCCTGATAATAAAAAACAAACCGTTTGGGGGCTTAGAGAGAGAAAAATAAAATTCATAAGTACAAAATTTCACATCACATACCAAAAATATTTGAAATCACAATGTTATGTTAATATTTTCTATTAAAACAATTAAAGCAATACTTTTCGATTAGCCAAATACTTATTAACAATAATCTTTCTTTTCAGACAATCTACCAAATGAAACTCATTTCTGTCCAAAATTGCAATAAAAGCAAAAAACCTACTTAAACCACTCAAACTGCAAGCAACTACAGTAAAAAAAAAATATATATACACATATACATATATACAGAGTTTTCAACGACTCCCAACTTCCGGATACAAGCTGAAAAAACACTACATAAGTGGCAAAGAATGCTGTGGCGAGAATAAACTAAAAAATATTTGGTCACAACTTTAATAGGTTTTACTGCAAAGAGTGTTGCTGTGGCTGCCACAGAAACAAAATGTCGAATGTAAGTTACTTCGATTTTTTTTCGATTATAAATCTATGCGTTTACATTCTAGTTTGATAATTTCAAATAATTAAATCCCGTAATAGATCAATAAATTTGTCTGCTTTAAACTTCTGTAACTACCCCACACACTTATAAAATGCAAAATTTAATCTTATTACCTACCACACTGCAAATAAATTTTCTCCTTTCATTACCTTTTCTAATTGCAATAATCCGCTCCCTCAATGCCATTGCCAATTTCCCGTTTTAAACTCGTAGTTGCTCTACATGGATGAAACGAATTGTAATGGCGTCTACGCATCCAAAGCCAATAGTTTGACAGCAGCACTAACACCAGCAAGCAACGGCATAATCAGCAACGGCAACGGTAACGGCAACGGCAACGACAACATCAACAGCAACAGCAACAGTAATAATATTTTACTGGCGGGCAATATTAGTATAAGCAATAGCAACAACAGCAACAATATCAGCACAGCTAACATCATAAGCAACAACACAAATACAAATAATATCAACAACATTAACATCATGAATGTGGCGGCCTCGACTGTGACAATGGCAACAGCGGTTGGCAACACCAACGTCAACGTCAACGTCAATGCCGTTGGCCCCGGCATTGTATCAGCAGCCACACTACCCACATCCGTGTCCAATGAGGATCTAAGCCAGAGTTTATCGGAGTACACGGATGCCGATGAAAGCATATCAGCGCCGACCGAGTTCCTTGCCGAGGTGAGTGAAGAAGGAGGAAATGTGGCAATATATGTATGTACATATATGTATATCTGCAGGGCTACAATTTGCCCTACTGAATGCCAAGTTTATTTATTTTGTATGTATGTGTGTATGCACATGTGTGCATGGAATTGCGCTGCCAATTACCCTTTGCCAGTTGGCAACTTTCAAGCTGTGATAAAGGGAACAAAGACTGGCTTCAATACCAACATCCACACAATTACGCTCATGTAGATCTGCAAGAAATATAAATTCTTTTCTTTTTGTAGGGTTGAAAGTTGCCACATAATTTAAAGTATTTTTAAATCAATTTCATAGATTTAAATTGATGAAAGTTAATACCTGACAAAGTCAAAATAACTTTCCATAGGTTGTGTAATATTTTAAAAGCATAAGAACTCACACCCCGAATATTTTTTCAATTTAAGATTTAAAATAAAATGTCGACACCAAACCGAAAAAGCACAAAAAGTTTCGCTAAATTGTTGCTTCTTATCTTTCGGGCAGTGCTCTGTATTTTTTGAGAAAAGGACAGTAGTATTTGGCGAACTGAAATACAGTCGTTTCATAAAAGTTTATTTCGATACTAAGTACTCCTAAATTCCCAAATAGCAGGGATAGGTTATATTGCACAATATGAAACTATAGAAGAATTTTTGATTTGGTTATTTGGTTTCCTTGATGAATAAGGTTTTTAAAGAAGGAAGTATTTCCATGGGAGTTGCCCTTTATATAAAAAAAAACCAAAGTCCACAATAAATCGCTAAAGAACAGATGCGATTTGCGAAAAAATCTTAGAAAAAAATTCGAAAATAATTTTTTATTTAGGTTTCTCAAAATATATGGATTTAGAAGAAAAAACGCAGAAATAATGTACCAAGGCCCAAAATAGCGAATATTTCGGAAAGCTCCGAAAATCATCAAAATTTCTAGAAAAATACCAAAAATTCTGGTTAAATTCTAAAAACAAGACGCAAAATGTCCCAAAAGTATATACGATATACGATAGCGATTTCCGAACAAAAGATCTCAGAAAAAATCCGAAAATAATTTTTTATTTGGATTTCTCAAAAAATAAGGGTTTAGATAACAAGTAATTTTTAAGCAAAAACCAAAACCGACTTCAATTCCCATATAAAAATTTCAGATTATCGTTGATTTCTTCAAGATCCAATCCAAATTGATATAGGACCACCTTTGAGGTAACACCTTTCCTTAAAAAAAAAAATAAAAGAATTATAGGAATCGGTTAACGTGGTCCAAAGTTATGCGGTAACATACATAAAAAATTTATTCCGACGAGTTGATAGCCTTTTCCTTTTTTTTCAAGTTGGTTAATAAGGAAGCGCTGTTATGAAAGTTGCCAACTAACTAAGAAAAAACGCCGAAAAAATGTCCAAACGCCAAAATAGCGAAATGGCTACTACTATTCCCTCTAATTTTGAGCCAAGTTGACAGACCTGCACGTGAACCAAACGGACCCTGCAAAAAATTGTGCGACTAATCTCTAAAGAGAGTATTCCGAGATTATTCTCAATCGGGTACAATTGGGCATTAATTAGTCGCAACTAGTCTCATACGGGTACTAATGGGGATCAATTAGTCTCGACTATCCCTTACGGGTATAACTGGAGATCAATAAATCCCCGACTCATCTCTAACGGGTACTATTAACGATTGAATGATATGTACGCACTTAGTCAACGAAATTTCATGTGCGGCGTTGGCACATAGGGAGAGTATTCGCTTATCAAACCTGAGCACCCTGGTTCGAATCGCGGCTGGCGCAAATTTTAATTTTTATTTTTTTAAAGTAACTAGTCGCTTTTTGTACCCGTTCGGGTATAAAGGGGAACAATTAGTCTCTTCATAGGATATGCTCGAACAGAAGCGAATAGTTCATTCTATATAAAGAGATCAAAAGTGGTATTAGTCGCATGTTCCTTGGCGATTGCTCCCGGAGTCATCCCGGATTAGTCGCATTTTTTGCAGAGGAGCCACTCGGCTTTCACGTACAATTCGTGTGTACGAAGTTACCGAACTTTTGCGACGCTACCAGCCAGCCTGTTCACTTTTGAATTTCATGCAGTAAGTAAGTACATACTGAGACAAAAATTTTGCGTTCATATTGGAAGCTCAGCCAGCGCTCTGCATCACTGATCTAAACACAATAACCTAAATAATTATTATTTATTTAGTTACATACGTTTATTCCATTCAAATGAATGTACATATATTCAAAGCACTTTTTGCTCAAAATAATAAAGGTTGCAAGGGGCTGATTCCGAGAGCACCTTTGGAAAAGCGGTATAACAATTTTATTTTACTTCAAAATTTTTAACTATCTGTTAATTGCAGTATGTATCAGTTTTTAATAACATATTTCTGTAAATCCCTTAAATTTGTAGAACCGTACAACTCAAAGAAATACACCTAAAATCAGTTAGCAAAAGTCTCTGCGATCTTTCTTTTTAACCCATCTTTTTTAACTTTTTTCTTAAACGCTCCGAAACATTTTTCAAAACCAAACAATCTACTCACAAAGAACTTGCATATAAGCAATTCGCTTGTAAGCATTAAAGTCAAGCTCTCTACAGACAATCTATTGCACCTATGTGCATGTATGTGTGTACATTATACGAGTATGTACATATATACGTGCACATTAGCTCCCTTGGCCGCAATTCGGCAGCCTTTATTACAATGGAATTATATGTAGCGGCATACTTCGTACAATTTTTGTATGTACGTATATTAATGCCTATTCAAATACAGACAAAAAAACTGCGACACCTATTTTATAAGTAGGCTCTTTATGCTATCGACCCGCATTTCTCGTAAATTTCTACTTGTATAAGTATGAATTTCCTTTCAAAAATTATTGCATGCCAATGTTCAATTTTCTTTTGTAAGCTACTAAACAGCTTCTTGCTACTAATTCATACTACATACTTAAGTACTTATAGAAAATAAAATTTGAATACCTACTTATGCTCAATAAATATCGTAAATTCATTTTGCATTGTTGCAATTTTAAGAGGATAGTAGGAAAGTGCATTATACTTTAGTTTACTCAATTAAAAATACTTTTGACGTTTCATGGAAAATAAATATTCGCAAATTAGGTTGGAATGCCAAAATATATTAACTATTTGCACAGCTATTTGGTAGCTTAAAGTGAAAAAACTTCTTATAGCTATTTCATTTAATTATTTTGCAAAACTTTTAAGGATTCGATGTTAATTATTTCGTATTATTTTCACGTTACCGGATTTTCGCTGCCTCCTCTGGGCTTAGCAAATTTGCCTTCGTTAAATAAAAACGAGAAATATAAACAGTGACGAACAAAAATATTGGTACAGTGAATTTTACGCCATATATAAAATATACTTCATTTTACACCAGAAAACGTAATAATAAAATCTCTAAACTTTGTGCAAAACTCAGGAAAATTCTTTAAATTTGCACACTAATTT